GTGCTGTACAAAGTAATTACACATTCATCAGGTCAGGAAAGTAACTACAGTGTCCCCTACACTCTTAGCAAAACAGGTTCTGCATAGTACCATAAAAGTGTTCTACAGCTTCTAACGAATCTTATAAGATGGTTCTTCAAGGGTTCTTCAGTAAAGGAAATGGTTCTATGTAGCACCAAAAAGGGTTTCTCTATTGTTACAAGATTGACATCGTAACAATAGAAAACTCTTTTTGTATTGCTGTATAGAACCGTTTTCAGAAAGGCTCTTCAAGAGTTCTTTAGTAAAAGCAATGGTTCTATACAAAACCATGAACCCTCAATGAACCATTTGAATGTTTTTTTGCATGGTCCAATGGCTCTTCTCCATGAATAAAAACACATATGTATATTGTCGTTTAACCCCTTAAATGTCCAGGGCTTGCCAGCAGGCCTGAGGTTTTATTACACACTTTATAACTTAAGAATAGCTCAACCGGTTTGCATTGAAGTCCCTGTAGTTACTGATTAATAAGCCTTAATATGTAATAAGCCTGAGATTTTAATAATAGTTCTATATAGCACCAAAAAGTTCCACTATTGTTAAAGAGTTAAAGAGCTCTTTTTGCTAAGAGTGTAGAACCATTTTTAAGGTCCTTTACAGAACCATACAACAGGATTTCCATCATAAAGAAGAACCATTTATGTATTCAAATGGTTCTCTGAGTGTTCACAGTTCTATATTAAAGTATTATCTTTAATAATGAACCCCTGAAGAGTCATTTTTAAGGGTGTATATTGAACTCAACCTCATGAATGAGGATAACTGCATTAGGTGAAATGCTTTGGGGAACATCCTTGCCCAGTGAGGGGCTACAATAAAAATATAATAATAAAGTTTTGGCCTTATCATAACAGTTTATGCGGCAGCATAGTGTCTAGAGGCACAAAATGGCTTAATTCAAAAAAGACCTCTGAAAACGTTGTGCTCATTAATTTCAAAGGTTGTGTCCAAGGTTCTGGGACTTTACGAAACCACAGAACCACAATCGGATCTATTTTCTCCAAATGGAGGAAGTGCAGGATAGGACTGAATCTTCCCAGTAGTGGCTGTCCTGCAAAGCCTCTCCAACATCAAATTATCCACATAACCTAAAAAACCCCACAGCAGCTTCTTGGCATCTGCAAGCCTCATTCATTTCATCCAAGGCCAGAGTTCATGACTCCACTGTCAGATAGACAACGAACAAAAATGGAATCTGAGGCGGAATCGCAAAGCGGAAACGACTTCTTACTATAAGAATGTGAATGGCTGCATGATTGCCAAAAAGTGGATGATTTTGAAGTGTTCTTTTTTACAGACTGATGAATAGTTGTGTAGCTTTTTATGTGAATGAGAAGAACTTTTCAAAAAGCCTAGTCAAAGTCCAGACCTAAAACCTACTGAGATGCTGTAGAAGGACTAGAAACAAACATTTATGGTCACACTTTATTCAAATGATCCCCTAAAGATGATCTACGGATACTTAAATTATTAACAAACTTTCTGGTGACACTCAGTCGATTAATAACACCATTGTGTTTAGGGTTTAGGACTAGGTTTTGTGTTGTTAAGGTTAGGGTTAGTTCTAGGGTTAAGGATACACTTAGTTGAATCTTTCACACTCAACTTCAAGTTTGGTTGCATTTCATAGATATTGAGTTGATTGTTACTTAAAGACAGACTGAGCACCTACAGAGCATCTACACTGGACCATCAAAATAAAGAGTTACCAGAAACTCTCAAATATCATTTTGTTAGACGCTCAACCCCTTAAAATCCCAGGCTTATTACATACTAAGGCTTATTGTTCAGCAACTGCAGGGACTTTAATGCTTTAACTGGCTGAGCTATTCTTAGATTATAAAAGTGTGTAATAAAACTTTGGGCCTGCTGTTGGGCCCTGGCCGTTTAAAGGGTTAAAACTATTTTGCATGGGGCAGCAATTCCTTTTAGAAAGGCCTGGGCCAGTGATCAGTTACTACAGGAAACATCTGCTGATAAGGGTACAATAACCAATCATTGCTTAAAAAGAAAGAGCTACTTTGTCACATTGGAAAACCGGATGTTGCATAAGGTGCTTATGATGATTATTTTTGGATTCTGTACGTGGGACTGGGTATTGACTGTTTGCTGAATTATGACTGACATGCCTCTCAACCAATCAACCTTCCATCGCGTGAAGGAAAAGCTCTGACAGAACTTCACATATCAAACCTGCAGTGAGAATGGCAGTGGTGGTAAATGTTGTTAGACCAAAAGATGTGGAAAAATGTTTTACTGAGGAATATATTAGTCAAAGACACACTGTCCTGATAATCCGGAGGCTGTTTTTATTTCATTTCTGAAACTAAAAAATATTTGGATTAAACTATGTGGAAGACCACTTTCACAGCTCAATTTCAAAACTTTTAACTGTAAAATGAAAAATGTTTCAAATGTACTCCTCTGTATGCTTCTAAATGTTCAGATTGCAATGGAAGACCTTGCATGTATAACATTATGCAATGTTACATACACTCTTAAAAAGGTGGTTCTTCAAGCGTTCCTTAGTAAAAGCAATGGTTCCATTTATAAGTAGTTCTGAGTAGTACCAAAAGGGCTCTTCTATTGTTACAAGCTTGATACTGTAACAGTTGAAGAACCCTTTTTGGTGCTATATAGAACACTTTTCAAAAAGGTTCTATATAGAACCATATACACACAACATTCTCCATCAGTCTGAAGAAGCATTTCACCAGGCAAAGAACCAGTTAAGCATGAAATGATTCTATGTAGAACCACTGCCTTTATTAAAGAAAACTTGAAGAAGCATCATTTTAAATGTGTAGACAGCCAATCCGCCAGTCTACATTTTGGAACAAGCATGCTTATTGGCTCACAGAACACCTATGTTAAAATTATATGAAATTTGTTGTTGAATGACACTGAATTTTTTGATACTTGGTAGTTCTTATGTCATTCGGTCAGTACTATAAAATCTTTAAGAATTTGTCAAGAAGAAGTGGTAGGAGAGGTAAGCCAGCAACCAGAAGGTTGTGGGTTCAAATCCCAGGACTGACTGGGTATACCTGCGCCCTTGGGCAAGGCGCTTAACCCCCCAATTACTCCAGGCAGCACTGCTTTGCAGGTGATGCTATGACTGGATGTAGTTAGGCAGCAAAATGACACATTTCCCTTGTAGGATCAATACAGTAGATAATGTAGCTTCCTCAACAAAATATAACCAGGAACTGTAATGACTGGGTCTGTATATTCAACAGTTCACGACTTTGTGTTTTATGATGGTCAGCTGTTCATATAACTGATGTATGACTCCATTTTTTGAATTCAACATAAGATAAATGTGAAAAACAGGTCATGGATCATTATTTACTGAACTTAAAATCTAAAATAAAACTGCCATCAATTACAGCTGCACCACTTTCATAAAGCCACTTGTCACTGTGGCCTAAAAGCCTTATTTTGGAAGTTTCCTAATGTGTAGCAGTTAAAGCAATGGTGCTTGACAGGTCTACACAGAGTTGGCATCCCATGCAGTCTCCTCTGAAATTCTGCGCAGTGCCTGACCACCAACTATAGAGTTTCCTCAGATAAGTATGTTAAGTAGCAGCTAATGTGGGATAAGTTTGTTTTTATGAATTTTGTTCAATAGATAATGTATAAAACCATGGATTTAAAAGTCCTTATTTCAGTTTGCCAGCCTTCTCTGTTCCACCCATGAAGGCCACATCCTGAATTTAAAAAAAAAATCAACAATGTTTAGGAAAAACCTAAAATCCTGGTGAAGCAAGGTTATGTTTTGTACAATTAAAATTACAGTCTTGCTCACCAGGATTCTAGGTTTCTCTTCGAACCTCATGACCACACAGACACAGAGAGGAAGGCCAGTGACCACACAAGCACAGGCTGTGCACAAAACCAAGGCGATGGATTCTAGGCTTCTCCAACAATTCAGCGAGCTTAAGACCTTAACCAGCAATAGACCCAATTCATTTGAGAAGGTAATTTACTACTAACTGACAAGGTCACAGGTTATCCTACGATGTTAAAGGAAAGGCTCATCATAAGCATAATCCATCAGCCAAGACATGTAGAGTGTGTGAAATTTGTGAGTCACCCAAAAAGACTTACTTGCTAGCTACATTAGCCTCGTAGTTCCAGGACAAAACTGAAGAAGCAAACATCAGACACCAACACAAATGTGAAACTAAATCACTTTATGTTCATAGTCTTCATTAAGCGATTTGATATTTTCTATGATGTTATATATTAATGTTTATGTTTGTATGTATTTTTTATATTATTTTATATCATTTTTTTACTATCCTTTAGCCTATTTGCTGTTGTGGACCCAAGAAAGTATAACTGCGGTAGAAGCAGCAGGTAATGAGGATCCTAACAAAGAAAAAGAAACATGGCTGACTGACTGCAGTCGTGTGCAAAAGTTTGAACATCCCTGGTCAAGTGACATGTTTTGTTGATTCTCAAAGTGAAAATATATTAATGCATTCTCTACAGAGAACACACTCCTGCACATTTTAATGCATTATTACTATTCATTTGCTGAATTTACCTTATTATGTTTATTAAATAAACCATCAAAAGTGACCGGTGCAGAGGTTATGGCACATTTTGTATTTTGTGTAATTCATTTTTTCAACTATGATAAACTCAGAAAATAAACAGAAACTTTGCAATAAAATTTGCAAACAAGGTCATATTTGAAGTTTGTTCTCTTTAGAAGATGTATTAACTTACTTTCACTTCAAAATCAACAGAACATGTCATGTGACTGGGGTTGTACAATGGTCACATGGGGAAATTGAATATTTTTGATCTTTTAACAGACCAATGAGCTTCAACATTGTTCCAATGATACTGTAAAGTTCCCTCTGGTAAACACTGGCACAAAATACTTAAGCCTACCTCTAATAGTCTTCCATGTAAAATGAAGTATGATAAAGAAAAGACACCACAACTTGTTTTTTTTATATTTAACAATATATATTTTCCAATTTCAATGTACATTCCGTTTTGACATAAGCTTTTATTCACAAACAAAAGTAGGCATCTAAATAAATACTATATAAAATAGAACTTCAAAATAAATATATCTATAAAGGGACATTTTTGTATGTGTGAGTTCTTTTTCCTTTTTGCTATATATATATTTTTAAACAAAACAAAAGCACATTGCTCTTTTTTTTATCAACATTAAGAATGCAAAAGCCAAAGAAATGCAGAGAGTACAAGCCCAAGTTTGGAAGGTTGCTTAATTGGGTTAAAAGTCATTATTTGATAAAACGCTAGTGGCCGAGAAAGTGTACCACAAACAAAAAAAGACAAACAAAAAAGGGTTTAGTCACAGCGTCCTGAACACTTCAGCATTGGGTTGTGAAAAGGAAGATCGTTCGTTTCTGCGGTTCTGCAAAGGTCAGGTTACACTGCAGCAATGCAAACACAGACAGTTCGTAGTTTAGAGCCACAGCTTGGCTTTTCTGTGACCGAGAGGACAGTGAGAGCAAAATAAAAAACACATAAATATCAGGGAAAGTTTATGTGTTAAGCGGGGGTGGGGGGGGTGGGGTGTAAAAGCTAAAAATCTTGAATAAGATGGAATGGAATGTTACTTGAGAGGGCTCCCTATCCCACCCCACTCAAGTTCATGCACAGCAGCTGTATATGTCAATCAAGCACAGAAGATGTTTCACCATTTTAGGAGAAAAAAAAAAGCTGTGGCCACAACAAACGCCCACAAAATGGAAAAAAGGGTTACTGTGAGCAGACTGAAATTGGTGTTCTTTCAGTGGATTCAATTAAATCTACAGTTTCAGGGGCACAGAGGAACCAGGAATTAGCCGTGCCTGTCGTGCTAATGAGGCATGGCTAACATAAACAGAGGTATTTTTTTATTGCCTGGCACACTTTGCTAAATCAAGTGCTTGTAATAGAAAGACCTAAATCCCCAGCCTTCTACTCCACAACCACATCGTTTGAAATTTTAACCCCCGCCCACACCCAGCACTCCCAAAAATATAATATTCATCTATATACGTTTTCTTTTTTTATAATTAAATTGTACCATGCAATTCTTTAGGACATTTGAAATGCATCTTAAGACGGCTAGTTTCTCGACACTATTTACAAGAGCGTGTAACCTGCATAGTTCTAGATCTAGGATATCGATGATACATTTGCAACTCTTTCCTATGCGACTATGCAAGCCTCCTCGTTCGTCACTACTTTGGCACCTATCCAAGAGTTAAGATTGCAAAGACTTAAACCCTAGCCTTGTACATTTAAGACTAAGAACAGTAGTGTTTTTCTGCTTTTTTTCCCCTTGATTTGTGCAACGAAGACGAGTACGAACAACTGAATATGCGGTGGTACAAACACTTGATTACATGAGTTGGGAGCTCGGTATATGAAAAGGTGGGGCTGCGCCCAAACAGAGCATCGTACCTTTAAGAACTTAGAAGTCACAATGAAGTATGCCCACTTAAACAAAAGTTCACAAGTTAGAACTATATGGTGCACTCCTTTGGCAAAAATATCTGTAATTCTAGACATACCACAAAAATACATATGGTGAAAGCAGTTCAAACTAAACTATGGCACCGAGTATGCTTGGTGGGGGGGATGGGGGTGTGTGTGGGGGGGGAGTCTGGCGCAAGGCAAACTAAAGGAATTTCACCACAAAATTGTACATGCCCTTGTACATAATGCTGTGCTTTTGTCCTTAGTTCTGGGTGCCTCACTGATATCGGTAGTGTTATTGGCAGACTTCATATTCTGGACATAGAAGCAAGATAGGCTTGCTGCTGACCCTTTTTCTCCTGTAGCTTATGGATGCTTTGTGTGTCACTATGCAATAGCTTCTCTCAAATGGTTACCTTTGCTAGTCTAGCAAGTTGAATTTTACATGCTGTACATAATTTATGTGAAAATTATGCTCCCTGAGGTGAAGTTTTTTTCCTCTACAATAACTCAAACTGCTAATATTTGGAAGAAACATTGTGGAAGTTCACGTACGGTGTGACATGCATTTGATAGATTTGTGAAAGTGACTTAATTCCCGTCCAAACCTCACAAACATCCTATTCTACAATGTCGTATGGTGGCCTCTTTTACTTAATATCCAATGTACTATGCATGTAGGGGCAATAAAGGAACTCCTTTGACCAAACAAAACTGCCTCCTGTTCTTACCTCAGAAAAGTAGGGTGAAAAAAGCTCTATAACAAGCTTATAAGTGGGCATGGAGGTAAAGTCTAGTTATTTTGATTGTAACATGTGTTATCAGCCTGGAATGCACTGCAACCTTTTCCCAGTGCCAGATCCGGAGAGGGATTGCCAAAGTATAGAATGCTCTTCTACGGGTGATATTAACTTTGACTGTTCCAAGCCACCCAAAGGGAAAAATAAACAGAAAGAAAAGAGATTGGACTCTTTCAAACAGACATTTTGCTCTAATGCAGCATTCTGTGTTGGCGAGTGTTTTAACTAGAGGCTGAAATGGCAGAACACTTTGATCCCACAGGCCACAGAGAAGAACCCCAACAGGAAAGCAAATGGGCTTCTTCTCTTTGTAGCATTTGACGATGGCCAGGTAAAGTAAAGACTTGTGCTAGTCGTTCTAGCTGGCCCATGTCATGAGGATCAAGCGTGAACCCTTTAAGTACCGTGATTTTGGGGAAGTACACGAGTGCTGGAGAAGGTCCTACCAGCTTCTGCTCATGAGTCCTCCTTTGTACATTTCATGCTGAGCACGGCATCACGAGGCCTGCTTCTCCAGAGGACAGGCCTTGGCCTCTGCCACTTTGCAGGCCTGGGCACTTTTGCAGCGGCAGCCCGGGCGACTGAGGCTGTCGTAGCACTTCTGCGAGAGCTTGGCGCAGCCCATGGCGGGCAAATAGCACACCAGGCAGGGCAGCACCAGCGAAACGGCGGCCATGAAGGACCAGCGGGCGCAGCAGTTTGAATGCGAGCAGGAGCACGGCTTGTCTGCGCAGGAACCCTCCTCGTCCTCGTCCTCGGTGCAGTGGTAGAAAACGCCCTTGACTAGGCACATGCAGGTGGCCGAGTCCACCAGGTTCTGGGCCGAACACAGACACTCCTGGTTGCACACCCAGCATGAGGGCAGGGTCCGGGGCAGCGTGCACTCCGTGCACCTGCATTTTCCACACTTCTCGCACAGGGGCATATGGTTTTTCTCAGCCGGCAAGGCCACCCCTGTCTTCGAGTCCTGGGGCTTGGAGCCCAGCAGCTTTGGTTGCTCTGTTCCCAGGTTTCTGGCATGGCCTCCTCCGCCAGAATAAGGGTCCACCACAGGGGTGGGCGCCGCATGCTCCAGCAACCGCTGGTCGGAAGAGGTGCTGCTACTGCTGCTGATGGAGCTGGGTCGGCCACTGAAGGAGATCCAGGGGTGCGTGGTGGCATCTGGAGCCTCGCAGCGGGGCAGGTGAGGGTGGTGCTGGGCACCCAGCAGGACCTCCTGCCCCCTGGTGGATACCTTGTGGCTCGGTGGCTGCTGCGAGACCACCGCAGGGCTGTCGATATAGTCATTCTCCACATGTAAGGACTTCATCTGGTCAATGGGGTAGATGGTCAGTGGGTGCTGGAGACGCCCATAAGGCACCCGACTGTCCAGCAACGGCTGCACCATAATGGAGGAGGAGACTCCAGGAATGTGGTGAGGAACCCTTGACTCCATCTGTAGGCTGCGTCCCACATACACCAAACCGAGATCAGGTCAGCATCTAGCAGTCCTGTAAAGACAACAGCGCGACTTAGGGACGGCAATCAGCTTTTCAGTTGCGTTCTACAGATGTCCTTATTTTTTTCATAGTAATAGAATACAAGTCATGAAAAACATTTATGTCCACTGGGGATGCACAGTGATATCAGAATCATAACAGTATCGTCAGATTATTTAAAAAAAAATATTGACATTGGATGAATGTTTAGATTTGACTGATATTTAACACTGATATTTGATGAAATATTTATTGTACTCTGGAAGAGCAAAATTTAATGAAAATTTTATGAAAATTTTATTAAATGTTGGGTTACTCTGATAAAATGTCTCCGTTTTATCCATTTTACAGCATTTGTAACCATACAGAAATAAAATTCACATTCCTTTGCAATGCCAATCCAGGTAGATCTCCCAATTTCTACCTTTTTTCAGTGTTCATGTATCATCTTGGGCCCACAGCTCCCATATCCGTGCATCCCTAATGGTCATTTAAGGTTGCAAAATTCAAGCTAAGTATGAAATCAAATGCATAGCACTCAGTGAGAGGATCTTAATGGACTCATTCCCAAGCAAGAAATCTGTGGCTACAGCTATAGCAGCCAAACGTAGGTTCACAGACACCAATTCTCTAGTTACGTCGATTTAAGGAAACTATAACCACAAGTGCTTGTGGCGTCAGATATAGATCATATATAACACCTCATTAGACAGCATGAAGCAAGATATAAAAATAGGAACGGTGACGAAACCGGACTGTATATGTTTAAGGCATTAACCCCAAGTACCAGTCGATGGATGAGGTTTGTAAAATGTTACATAGCTAGCCTATCCGCCCACGACACTGCTATTCGTGTAGACAGCAGAGGGCTGAAAACCATCAAAGCTCAGTTTTATGGGTTAAATATACCACTTTACGCATCAAATGATCACAAACAGATGAAAAATATCGAACCTGTTGCAGCGTTTTGGCTAAAGGGAAAAAGAGCTACTGTCCAGAAAGGCTGCGTATCGCGCCTCAGACATAATACTGCTCTCTTCAAACGGACGGATTTGCTGCCTCTCAACAAAGTCTTCACCCTGAAATGTATCTATAAAACCGGGCAGCTTCAAGACCTTTTCTAATTTAACATCTGCCCACCAGAATTCATTTAACGACCCCAAACGCGTCCGGCTAAAAGCGGTCGAACTCGTATTCAGCCTTTTGTTCGTGCCAGCAAAGAAACGCTGTTTTAAAGGCGAAGATGACAAAGTCAAACCCGTCTGATCTGGAGTGACGAAGGAGAGTGAGAGCTGCAGTGAAGCGTCACGCCGCGCGCTCCGCTGGCAACGCGAACAGCTCCGCCAAACGCTGCTCGTTTCTCAATGAGCAGCTAGAAATCCACATATCAGAACGGGGACGGTGGCTTTAACTACCGCCGTCGGTAAAATCGCCGTTTTCCAGCGGAGAGCTGCGCCACCCCCACGCTCTCGGGCGGTCTGCGGCTGCCTCGGTACTTCACCGGAGTTAAACACTGACACGGGGCTCTCACGTCCAGAGGCTCCGTCTCACAAGAGCGTCAGAAAATGGACGAAAAGGCGCAGAACCTGAATTAGCCGACGACAGCCAGCCCGCTCGAGGCTGCAGCGTTACGGTGTGTCGAGCACGTATTAACGACAGGAATCAAAGTTGGCGAGGAATGAACAAAAATCCGAAACTTACTCGCTTCTCCAAGTAACTCATTGTCGTTCTTCAGGCGTTACAGTCCGATATCTCAGAGATATAGTTCCGTTATAGTTCAGCAGAGAGCCTTCCGGAGCAGCAGCAGCACCGAGCGCTGAACACGGTCTCCTCTCTCTCTTCTTCTATCTCTCTCTCTCCCTGTGTCTCTCTCTCTGACACGGCGCTGCGACTACATGAGGGAAATGGCTTTTTATGAATGGGAGGGTTAAGAGACGTACTGCGCAGATGCTTTGGCAGGACGTCTTTTTTTTGTGAATGGGAGGGCATTACGACTCGGGACGCAAATGCGGGGGTTACACTTTTATGAATGGGAGAGCTCCGAATTTCATTGCGCATGCGCGATGTGAGGATTTCATGAATGGGAGAATGAGGGGAAGAGGGGGGTGAGTGAATGGGGGGGTTGGGGTAAATGGGGGAGCTTTTCGACACAAGGGCAATGTCAGAGAGGATTACATGAATAAGGCGGCTATGTGCCTCATGCCACTGCTTACTTTAATTTATGTCGCCTGGGCTCTTATTGTGTCCTGGGGGAGCCGAACCTGTACACGGACAGACACCGACAAGAAAGCGGGAATAAACCAAAGCAGGACAGTGGTTCTGGCTTTTTTCCTGCCATTTCCGTTGCATTTGAAAGCCAAGCAGACTGAAGCGACTGAAGAAAAGAAGCAGCGCTCTGTGAACACTGTGCTGCTGTATTACGAGCGTACAGTTGTCCATGACTCATGACTCATTGAGGGGGGAGGGGGAGGGGTGCGAAATCGCAATGCAGAGTAGTGATGGTGGATCTAACCTCGTCTGAACTAAACTAAAGCTGACCCTGCTGCGTTTCAGCATCGAGACTCGTTTTCAGCCGGAGTGTGGGGTGCACATCGTCCTCGCTTTCGAGAACAAAGGCGAGAAAACACAAATGGAAGTCAGCTCAGCCTCTATGTTTGACAATTTTGTCGTTTCACTAACGTTTACCACGCAGCCGAGCTGAGGTGGAAAGGCGAGAAGACGCTGACCTGGTTATAACTTGGTTAATGAAAGCCCACACAGAAATCTGATATATAGCAGCACATGGGTTTCAGACATGGAACATATTATCATAGAGGGATTTCCCCCATACCCAGCTTGTATTAGTCACATATGGACATATATATGTCAACTTGACAATGACAGACATTTCAGCCATTTATTATACAATCATATGTGTAACACATACATTTAACAATATATGATAAAAAAACATCCATATATGGCAGGCATATATTACTCATATATATCATATATGTTATACAATATAAGGTTTTTTAGGCGTCTTCTTTCTTTCACATACTATAATGAAGTGAACATTTGTATACATAACCTTGCTCTAAACATGTGCACATTATAAGCTATGCAGTAAAAACATTGATATGAAAGGAATAAAAAAAATTGCTCCATGAAATATTTAATTAATTTAATATTTAAAAGCAAACAGTTAACACTGTACCAATTATAACTGTACTGGGATGTATTCAACCACATATCAGACGTATATGTAGGCTATGGTCCATATATTATGCATATATGTTCACAACATGTAAATATATATTGTAATATATGTCTGACCCTTAACAGTACATGTCCATATGCGCCCATATTATCAGATTTCCGTATGGGGGAGGGGGTGAGTGTGAGGGGCACGCAGGGTCCACAAAAGAAAGAGCAGGATGTCGTTGATTTGTAACGAAACCACGAGAAGGAAATGAGCGCGAATTTCCTTTTTTTTTTTTAACACCCCTGTGTCTTTGCCCTGCCCCCACGGATAAGTCCCAGCTTGCGGCTTGACTAATGCTGTCAGAGGTTAATGGACGGCCTCTGCATTAGCACACATTTCCATGACAACATCGCCTTCGACCCCAGACTGGATCTGAATGATCTGCCGGCGAGAGCTAAACTTAGCCACAGATGGTCGTTTGATACATCGGCCGTGCGGATGTGGCTTCAGGATCCGTTTCTGATGGTTTGTTCAGTCTCTACGGCCCGATATCTTCATCTTAGCCAGCAGCGCTTTCTTCTCGGCCGAGGCGGAAGTGTGAGGAGGAAGATGGCGAAGGTGAAAATGGCCTCCCTCGCCGCCCCTTTGAAAGTAATGTTTTCTATTCAGCGCTAATGACCACACACTGGAAATACGATTATCGCGTACGAAATTAAGGGGCTTCGCGGCTACAATACACAGCAGGTCACACTTTGCTATGGAAATGACCCTTCACCGGGCTTTCGCAGATAGTGACTAGTCAATCTGGCCAACGAAGTCACGGGCTGGTCTGTCAACAGGGTCGTTTAACATTCTCACAAGCCCGGTCATGATCTGTACCCTTCACCTGACACCTTCCTTTTACCCCTACCCTGCTGACTGTACCGTTCACATTTGGTACACAACCTATTGATTATTTTATTTAAAAAAAATACATTGATGAGAACATCATTAGTGATTTGTGTAACTCTAACCATAAATTAAACTTTTTAATGACTGAAACCCACCCCCTTCTTGCATTGGAATCCCACCATTTTTTGACATTTCTGCAGCAAACGATAGTTGAGATGTAAACAAAGTAGTTCAATGTATTTTAATGTGAAATGGTGCACTGTAGAGAAAAACATTACTGACTCAGATTTGTTGACAGGGGTGGTGATAGAAACCAGACGTCACGATGTCTGTAACTCAAATACGGCTGTTTTATACGCTATCCAAAATGATCAGTGCCTGGTCTAGATTTTGGCCTAAAAACATATATATATATATATTAATCCATTCATGGTGGAATGGTCCATATAGGTTGTTACAAGGCAAATAGAACACATAGAAAACCTTTTTTTTCAGATTTACCACCATTTTACCGTTAGCAACATTACATTTAACAACACATGTAGAATCACATAATCAACTGTTGAGATGTAAACAAAGTAGTTCAGAGTCTTTTAATGTGAAATGATGCATTGTAGAGAAACTTATAGACTCATATTTCTTTACAGATGTGGTGATAGGAAGCAGTGGTCACTGTGTCTACAACGCAAAATATAGCCATTTTATTTACTACCCAAATGACCTGTGAGCCTACATGTGTCTCCTGAGTTTTTATATGTAATGTTGCTGATGGTAAAATAGTGGTAAATCTGAAAAACATAAGTTTAATAATAAACTTAATAATATTCGTAACCATTTCATGTAGCTTAGTAACATTCTTTGATGTAGTTTTTAATATTAAATGCTTCGGACGTCTGGCTTTTGTCACCACCACTGTGAACAGTTCTGACATTTTACATCAAACCACTCTGAATGACTTGACTAAATTGTATGTAAATTGAGAAAAATTGGTGGAATTCCTTTTTAAAGAGCGACAAATGTTATCCTGCTTTTTGCTAGTGCTTACATACTAGCAACACAATCTTTCATGAGAGTTTCGTCCTTTAGTTCAGTCTATTAAGTCGTGCTTGTTGCCATGAGGCCAGTCTAGAGTGGTGACCTGATTGGAAAAGCAGCTGACTCTCCCTGTGCCTGGGTGGGGAGGGGGTCCCTGAGCTCCAAGCCAAGCCCACAGGAAGGAGCTTGTGTGAGGGATGTATGCGGAGAATGCGGGCCTTTGGTGATCTGGGTCTGTGTGGGAAGAAAGGGAAGCCCCCCCACCCTCCCAAAGCTCCCCCACTATTACTGAAGGGAAAGCTGAGCTCTTGCCGAAATGCTGACCCCTGACCCTTCTTCAGAGAACTGACAGGAGTGGCCCTGAACTCTCACCCATGGGACAAACTAGCGATGAAGCGTGACCTGTTGCTGGGGCGTGGACCCGCCATTCACGCGGCCAGCATTCTGGGCATTCCACGCGCCGCTCCCTTCACATAGCAGCCCCCCTCCCTTGAGACCCTGCTCCAGTACTCCACGATCCGACGCACAAAGGACCAGCGGTCACCGGGGACCCATTCCTCACCTCGAGAGACAGGCATCGCAACCTTCATTTTCTCAAACCTTGCATAATCCAGGCAAGGATAAGTGACAGACCAGGGAACTGAATGGCAGATATAGGACCGGTCACACAAATTTGAGCTGCTTTAGCCTCTCATCCAGGCAGACTAACTCAGTTAAAGATGTATGGTTGTGTGGGTAGGGCCCATTTGTCAGACTGTGTGTGTATATATATATATATATATATATCTTGATCTTTATGTAGCTTAGTCCTGGACCTCTTTTACTGTGGAATTGACCAGTGTGGGTCTGATGGATTGCGCATGGGACACATGAAGGAAGACAATTAAGTAAATCCCACCTTAATTAGCTAGATGAAATGGAAAGAGTTGTACGCACCTCCCTTGTCCAAATTAGCTGCATGAAAAACAAGGCTAGTTTATGTGTGCTTCACATCTGGGCCATCTTGAGCACCCCTGGTCAAATTACATTGTTGATTTTCTGAATGAAAATAAGTTAGTTTCTCTACAGAAAATATACTTCTGCACATTTTGATACACAATTACTGTCTATTTGTTTATTAATGGCACATTTAGTATGTTTTATCTTCAATCTAGAAATTTAGCTCTAAAATGTCTGCAATATATAAGTTTGCTTACTGTAGAGTTAACTTGTACTGTTAACTTATTTTCATGTGTAATTTTACCTTTGGTATACTACTGTATGTCAGTTATTTCTATAGTTAAAGCAAGAATCAAATACAGAGAAATCCTCACAGTCTTCAAGAATTTATTTCCAGTATTTAGCAAACAGAATAACTGGCCAGCTCACAAAGAGTTGACTGCTTCACCATTAGGCTTTGTCAGCTTATTCAGTTTTTTTAAATCAACATACCAAGGATGACTTTTTTGACACTTTTGGTCTCCTTTTTCTGGTCACATATATTTAAAGAAACTTTTGGTTTGCTGTTAAGAGAGGTGGATATAATTGAGACTGTAATGAGTGAGTTCAGCACTGTAACTAAAACACTACAAACGATTGATGTTTGTAAGATGCATTAGGACAGTTTACCTGATGTCATTCTTAAAAGAATGTCTAGATTAGATCAAATTTTCTGTATTTATTCATCATTTCTGACATATAGTTCCAGAGTAATCATAAGACCATATTAATGGAACCACAACACAGCTTCTTTTCATGCTATGTCAAAAGCCTTTTCTCGGCCTCTGCCCTGGGCGTTCATTGTGTGGTTACACACATGCTACTTTTACACAATGTCC